AGCTTCTGCACAGCAAGAGAAACTACCAGCAATGTGAAGAGACTACCCACAATGTGGGAAAAAATTTTCACCAGTGGGCCCTCAGACAAAGGTCTACTTTCTCAAATCTATAAAGAACTTTAAAAAAATCAGACCTCCCCAATTGAAAGACCCAATCCAAAAATGGGCATCTGAAATGAAAAGACATTTCTCACACAAAGTAGTAGACATGGCAAATAAACATATGAAAAAATGTTCCACATCACTGGTCATTCAAGAGATGCAAATGAAAATGCTGAGATTCCACCTCACTACAGAAATAATGGCTGCTATCATGAAATCAACCAACAACAAATGCTGGCGGGGCTGTGGGGAAAGAGGAACCCTGCTCCACTGCTGGTGCGAGTGTAGACTGGTGCAACCACTGTGGAAATCAGTATGGAGATACCTCAAAGAACTAGAACTGGAAGTCCTATTTGACCCAGCTATTCCCCTGCTGGGGATCTTCCCCAAAGAATTAAAAGAATCATACCACAGTGATACATGTACACCCATGTTCATAGCAGCACAGTTTGTAATAGCTAAAACTTGGAAACAGCCCAAATGTCTATCAACTGGAGACTGGATAAAGAAAATGTAGTTTTCTTATAAAATGGAGTACTACTCAGCCATCAAAAATGAGAAATTAGAGACATTTATTGCTAAATGGATGCACATTGAGGTGATACCCTTAAGTGAAATAAACAGGACACACATGTGTAAATACCAAATAGTTTCTCTAGTGTGAGAACCTGAAAGTGTAAATAAGGACTAAAAGATATAATAGATAATGTGAAATAGGAAGAAAAGGGGCAAAGGGGAGTGGGAAATGGGAGGGGAAGGGAAAAGGAAAGAAGAGAATGGAATTAATATGAGAAAATGAAAAAATGGAAACCAAGTCTTTGTAAATAGGGAGGGATGGAGGGGTTGAAGGGAGGTCAGGGGAAGGGGGAAAAAATAAGAACCAAGAGAGTATGTAAATGTGCATATCTCCAATGATGAATGTCATTATATTGTACACCTAAAATGTACCAATAAAAGAATATACAAAAAAAGAAAACATGGCCACAGGTCCATTTAGCAGTGTATATTTTATCACCCTAACGAGATTTATAAATTAAACTTTTTGAGGGCAAAAACTCTTTACTTTCCCTCTAATGCTCTGTTTGTAAAACATGTTCAATAAATCCTTGTTATGTTACATAACATTGAAGACATAATAAGTTAAGAAATTAAATTTCTGCTGACAATTCAGAAGAATCATTTAGATGTAAGCAATTACTATAATAATTTTATTTCCTTCTTATTTATCACCAAATTTGGTCTACAGTTTGGTGTCTAAAATAGCAGCTGTACCTACCATTGCTTGTTCAGTCTGTTTAGTGATTCAAAAGCAATGAAATTGAATTGCTTTTAGAATGTTATATAATGCAGACTTCTATCTAACTCAGATTTCCCATATCCTGATTCATCTAAATGAGTTACAGTTTTACTGTACTCAATTTTAAGCAGCTCTTTGATGAGTTCTGAAGAATCACATTAAGAATGAATGTGGCTAAATATAAGTAAATGCAATGAAAAGCTTTGGGGAAGCAGTTTCCCCCAGTGTTCCCAAAGAGTAAGCTTATTCTGAGACAAATAAATGCAAAATGTGCTGCCTGTGTTGTGAATCATTTGAACCATTGACTATTTTTAAAATGCCTCCCCTGTTTGCATGCCATGATAGAAAACACTTAATAAGGACCCTGTGAATTGAATGCTGCTTGCTAAAGAAAAAATCTACCCTTTTCATCCCTTTGTTTTTCCCCTGGAGCTAATGTTATGATCAATAGATTGCTGGTGTAATTTAGATAAATCTAGAGTTTAATTGCCATTTGGAAAAAGTACCTCTTCTGAAAACTTAGAAGAGCAAAAAAGAATAGAGAAGTTACAGGGTGTTAAATACAAGCCCTGGGGAGAGAGGAGAAACAGAAAAAGAAAAAGGTTGTGTAGATAAACTGTTGAAGCCCTGCAGATATTTACAGGGTCTGTGTGTATTCTGAATCAGTGCCTCAAAATCCTGGCTACAGTTGTCTAGAATGATGCTGACTTCTTCCTCACATCTTGTGATTTTCAGATGCAACACAGGACCCCAAAGGAAAGGATGGTGCTTTATAAACAAACATCTCAAAGAGTTGTCTTCTTCAATTAGTATGGAGCCTGAGTTAATGAAAGCATCACCTCTCAGCTCCCTTCCTACAGTGGCACAAAGTTACACGCAGAAATTCGTTAGCTGGCTATAGCTTGCTCCCTCCTCATTTTGGTTTAGTGCTTAAATTCCCCATGAGTTACAACACTGACCTCATAATTGGCTTTTCCAAATATCTCATCTTACTGTTAAGAATGTCAAGTGCCTTGGTGCACTTCTGATCATGGACAAGCCTATGTGTGGTGTTGGCTCGATTACTGGTGATGGAACCCTGGAGAAGCCACTTATCCTCCCGGCACTTGGTTTTCCTTTCTTACATGGAGTCATCATTTCTGCTTTCTTTTGGAAACTTAAAATCATGGTAAAAATTTATTGGCCACTTATTGTGGCCAGTAATTAGTAAGAAGGCTAAAGTAGCTATTGTGCTTATCTTTAAACGGTCTTTCATTTTTTGTGTTGGAAGCTTTAGCTGAACTAAATGCACAAATCCATTTAGTTTATGTGGACCCCTGTTACTGTTTAGATCTAAAATGTTCCTCAAAAATCTCATGTATTTAGAGATGGAACTTTTGGGAGATGGTCGGGTCATAGAGACACTATACTTATCAGTGCATTAATCATTGATGAGTTGATAGCTGAATGTGCTGTTAGGAGATGGGACCTTGGTTGAAGGACGTGGGTCACTGCAGGCATGACCAGGAAGGGTATGTTCTTTTCCCTGCCTCCTTCCTTCTCTCTCTCTTTCTCTGCTAACTGGTTATCGTGGGATAAGCAGCTTTCCTCTGCCATGCCCTTCCTTCATGCTATTTCTGCCTTGGAGTTAGCCAGCTATGTACTGAGCCGTCTAAAACTGTGAGCCAGAATAAACCTTCCCCTCTTCAAGTTGCAAATATCAAGTGTGTCCCAGTGATGAGAGAGTAACTAATAACCCCCAAATTCCAAGGTGATTTTTGATTTTCAAGATTTTCCCTAATTACAGAGGATTCCAAAAGAGTACTCAGACATTTGGTATTAAGGGCTCATGGTGATGGCCTCTTGAATGTCAGTCTGTTTCCTACATTTCTTCCTTTCTGCTGGTATTATGAGAACAGAGCAGAACTTTTTCTTTATCTATTTTTAGTAACATTACTAAGTCATAATTTATACACCGTACAGTTCACCCACTTAAAGGGTATAATTACTGGGTTTTAGTCTAATCACAAAGTTATGCAAATCTCAATCAATTCTGAACATTTCATCATCCCAGGAGAAACTCCATATCTGTCTCACTTTCTAGTCACTGAGACACAGTTTCTGACAACAGCATCTTAAAAGAAGAGAGGTTTATTTTGTTTCAACATTCCAGTAATCTCAGTCCTTACACTGTCAACTGGCTCCAAGGCAGGACAGCATGGCGGAGGAGAGCTGCTCATGGCATGGCAGATAGGAGACAGAGGACGTCAAGGAAAGAGGAAGAGAGATATACCCTTCCAGGTCACACCCATTGTGACCCCCTCTTCCAATCAGATCCCACCTTCTAACAGCAAGTCAGGTATAAACCCCCATAATCCAGTCACCTTCCCAAAGCCCTGCCTATGAACTCATGAAGCTCTTGGGGGACATCTAAATATAAACCGTAGCAATACTCTTTGGCTCTCACCTTCCAAGCTTCCCATTTCCCCACCCAACTCCCAGCCCTAGACAACCACTAATCTACTTTCTGCCCCTATATATTTGCCTATTCTGGACATATCACATAAATTAAATCATGTAATAGTTATCCTTTTGTTTCTGATTTCATTTGGGATAATGTTTTCAAGGTTCACCCTTGTCACAGTACGTATCAGCTCTTTATTTCTTTCTATTGCTGAACAATTTTTTATTGTATGGGCATACCATATTTTAGTTATCTATTAGTTGGTGGATATTTGGATTGTTTCTATTTTTCATTATTACAAAAAATTCTGATATGAGCATTCATGTACAAATTTTTGTGTGGATATATGGTTACCATCTTCTTGGTATACACCTAGAGGCAGAATCGCTGGGTCATATGGCAACTCTATATTTTAACTTCGGAGATACTGTCATACTATCTTCCAAAGTCCCTGCCCCATTTTACATTCCTCCTAGCTGTTTCAGCTTTTCCATAGCCTTTCCAGCACTTGTTGTCATCTACTTTTTTGATTCCCTTTGTCATTTTGTGTCCTTCTGGAACATTCACAGCAGGTTAGGCTCAATAGGTAAGCTCTTCTTTTGTAGGTATGATTAGTGTGCTGAGTACTTTCTGTTTGTCCTGCCAGTCCTTCTTTGCCCTGCTCTATGGCCTGGGGTTGGCCTGTATGGGCTGATGCTTTGGTTTCCTGGCTCTCTAGCTTCCCTTTGGGTTCAGCCAGTGTGATCAGAAGAAAGGTGAACAGCAGGACTAAGCTGTTTATTCTCCTGGCTTTCAGTTCTAGTAAAGGATTTAGGTCATGTGAGGCAGCTCTTTCACATAGCTACCTCCCACTTTCTTCATTGCTCCTCTCTCTGCCTCTTCAGTTTTAGCCATGGTGATGTTAGCCCTGGGATTCTGTGACATCCCTCATCTGTTCCCCAAAGCCTGGTCCTCCTTACCTTGTAAGTAGTTCCTTCGTCACATTCTCTCCAACTTGCCATGAGAGTGTGACATCTGTTTGCTGCTGGGACCCTGCCTGATCCAGGCTGCAGCCAGTGACTCCTTTTCCCCATTCTGCTGTTTGTCTACTTTCTATACTGCCTAAAGACTGCTTGATGCAGAATTATGTCTGAGTGTCAGCTCTTTGTGTCGTTACAGGCTTATATAAAACTTGGGGACTACCAGAAGGCCCTGGTGGATTGTGACTGGGCACTAAAGGTATGAGAATATTTCCTTTCCCACATGATAGTGTCATGCTTCCTTGGGTTAGATGTCTCAGTCCTGAAATGAATAGAAGTGAGTTGCCAGCATATCGCAGTAGGAAAGGGTATAGACTCTGCACACAGAGCCTCAATTTCTTCCTCCATAAAATGGGATGGAACAGAATTGTTGTGAGGGTCATGATAATGCACATAAGCTTCCTAGTCCTTAATAATAAGCATTCCAGAGAAGCTCTGTAATTGTTTTCTTTCAAGGTTTAATATTGCAGTAGCTTGTTTTTTACTACTGTGTTAACAGATCCTTTACTCCATGCCATAGTGGAAATGCTCCTGTCTCTAAAGCCCGCAACAGGAGCTTGTTTTTGCAGTGTTGTCATTCTTCCTCATCAGTTTGTGCTTTCCTCCTCCATCTCTAGCAATTTGGAAATATACTGTAACATCCTCTATTTATAGAGGAATATATATTTATAGAGGGATTTATAGAGGGATTTTCTATTTATAGAGGGATAATCAGAATCAGAAAAAAGAATTCCTATTGTCCAACATCAGTCAGGCCTCAGGGAGATAGTAAGATACCCTTCACAGTATTCCCTCCAAAATCTGTTCAAGTAGATTATCAAAGGTGCACAGAAGTAGGGAATGTTCATTTTCACATTGCCACGATTATTTCTTAGGGACATTTTTTCAGATGACCGAATAGTGAACTCTTACTCCACATTCCTCTGTGTTACTTTATTTAAATAATTCAAATTAGCACTTCACATACTTTTTCACTGAAGTGCTGCTAACAGAAAAGAATGAGCATGAGCCCTTCAAGGGTCTAGAAAGAAGAAACATGAAATTGCTCTTAAGACATATGATTTATCTTAAAAATCCTTGTGAATTTGACATGACACTGTAAAGTTTGTATCTTTGCTTTAATATAACACTATTATTTTAAACAACTTACAATCAAGAGGAATTGAGGTACCAGGAGAATGTGCTAGATGTATTCTATGGTTTTGATTCCTGGGACAGCAAACCCTGCCTCACCTAGTGAGCTCAGCCTAAATCAAGAGCACTCTCTCGCAGCAACATACAGGCCACATCTACTTGCTTCTTTTCTATTGAGGGAGGAAGAAAACAAAATAGGATGAATTAGAAAGTCACCTTTGCTTATGGTGGTTTGTGAAATAGCAAAGATCCTCCAAAAAGGGGCACCTAGAGTATCTCAGCTCCTGTCCTTTAGAAGGTGCAGCAGTGAGATTGCCCTGTTGTACTGGGGAGGCCTTTAAATTTTGAGAGTTGCCCAAAGCTGATGACATCAAGTCTTTTACATCTCTAGATCTCCTAACTTACTTCATCAACTTATTGGATCATGATTTTTCTATCATTATTCTGTAAGAAGAGAGAGACTGCTGGGGATTTAGCTCAGTGGTTTTGCCACCTGCTGCGCAAGCGCACAAAGACCCGAATTCAATACCCAGTACCAAAAAAAAAAAAAAAAGAGAAGAGAGAGACAAGGATATTTTGTTTGATTATTCCAACAATAACAGCAAAAACCACGTTTGCTTCCTGCTCACAGCATGCTTGTTGGTTCTGTTCAGTACCACTATCTTTCCTATTTGGGGAGCAAGGAAGCCAAGCTTCTGATATAATTAAGTAACTTACACAGGATCACAAAGCTAATCTTGGTCTTTCTATTTGCCTGTGCTCTTAACCATGGCCTCTCCCTTGAAACCTTTAACTTCATAATCCCTGGGTGTAGACCTAATCCTTGTCTGTGGAAGAAACAATATGTCCTTGAAGGGCCTCCAAGAGCATCTGTTCTGATCGGCAAGGACCAGACTGAGGAGGTAGACCACCCTTGTGCTGACTAGGATAATACACTGGCCTGTTCCCAAATGTTAACTGAAGCACAATGTAATTAACGGTGAAACCGAGGCAAAGCAGGCCCAATGAAGCTGACATTAAAAAATGCTGACACTCAGCAGCCAATCTTGTTAAATGCCCAGCAAGGCTCTCAGCTAAAGAGGTTTGAGTAACTTGGAGGAGTGGGGAAAATTGCACAAGGAATTCTAAAAACAAGTGACAGTCAGTTCTATGTTGAAGCCTTCAATTCAAAGAAACTTTTGCTTTCTTTAAAAGCCTTTAAAATATCAGTAGTGAATGTTACAGACATTCCATAATTAATAGTAATAGTACTTTCATGCCAGTTTAATATTTTCGACACTTTTAAATTGAGACAAGCCTATGTGATGATATTTCAAGACTGATGTTCCTTGTCAAGGAAGGTAAGGTAGCTGGTTTCAATTAGGATCAGAATAATTTCTTGCTTGGTAGAATGCTTCCTGTGCAATGAAATACATCTTGGTCTGAAAGCGCTATTTATTTAAGGGGAGTCTGATGTTCACCCAAGAAGATCATACTGAGGAGTGACACACGCTCAAAGGAGAATGGGCCCAGTAGTAAGAAAATCCGTTAGTGGCCTTTTATGTCTGTGTGAAGGAAGGTGAAGTCATGGCTACACACACTTCATGATGACAAAGTAGGCCATGGCTGTGGCCTCAAGTGTGCAACTTGTGTGCGCTGTGGGGATTTGGCTCTCCTGAACTGACCTGTTGGAGTTTCCTCTTTTCTCTGTAACCATTTTTTTCCTGCTTCCTCTATTTCATCTTTGGGGAATTGTCCAGGCTTGAGAACCTGTTCAGCTCTTATCTCTGCAAATGCCTCTCACACCTTCTTCCCTACACTCCCCCTTCCCCTGGTTCCAGAGCTACATTTCATGCTCCTCCCACAACCTTTCATTTGATTGTCTTGGCATCCTCTGAAACTCAGTATTCTAGAAGCAAACTCTCCATCTTCTCCATTCCCTTCTGTCTCTGACTTCTTTTCTTTCTGTCACTGCCACCTCATGTTTTCCAGGAATCCAAACCCAGGTTTTGACATCACATCCTCTTCCACCCTTATCACTTATATTTTTTTTTCTTGTTTTGTTTTTTGGTACCAGGGATCAAACTCAGGACCTTGCGCTTTCGAGGCAGGCAGCAGCACCACTGAGCTAAATCCCCAGCCCCATCACTTATATTTAGTTGGTGCTGGTCTTTTATTTTTTTGCCATGGCTCTAATGTCTGTACTTCCTTCCACTCCCACTGTCACCAGGACTTCAGACATCAGCCCAAGGTCCAAGTGACTGTTTCCTTGCTCAGCACCCTGCCTTTTTCTCCTCTGGTTAGGTCTGCATCTGCCTCCACAATGCCGTTGAGGAAACCCTTCTCTTGTCTGACATTCAGGGCCTCCATGTGGAGTAAGGTCTAGCTCCCCCTTTCCAGCCACATCTTCCCATCATCCAGCAGCTACCCCCCAATCCTACCTGGATCATCAGGATAGCCCCAGGACCCTCCCACCTAGGGACCTTTCTCAACTCCTCCCCCTCTCCCCTCTGTCATCCCTTCTCCCAACACTCAGGATCCTGCTCAAATCCCTGCACTCTGTATGCCCTCTTTTAGACTGCATCTCTTTAGAGCAGACTTCTTCCTAGTCAACTTTTGCAGTAGCATTTCCTACAATAGCTACATACCTTTTTTTTCTATAGGATATTTCTGAAGGGGATTTAGTATTATTTTAAGTCCTGGATTCCTGGAGTCAAATGACCAGATTCCAGATTCCAGTCCTCTATTTACTATTCATATGATCTTGAATTTCTCCAGCTCTAGTTTCTTCATCTGTAAATAATTGTACTTGTTTTGTTGAGTTGTCATAAACTTTCTATGAAGTCATTCATATGAACATCAAGTTCAGTGTCTAGCACATGAAATGGACTGAAAAATCATGTAATCTTATTATTACTACTACTACCACCGTTCACTTAGCAGTAGATCAGAAAATAATATACATGAGAATGCACCCATTTAGGTGTCTTGGTAACATACCACTTCTGGTGAGGAACGGAATGAGGACACATTAGACTTCTGAGCTTGATCTCCTTAAGTCTGAACTCTAAAGAGCACCTGCCCTGGTACAGTGCCTAAAAGGGATTCCATAAAGGTTACTTAACTGGCTGTTTTAAATTTTAATCAATGTCTCTAAGCCAAATCATTTCCCTCCCTTATAATAATTAAGGTCAGACACCAGATGCCAGCTCCTTATGTAAATAATGCATTCTGAGCCATGAGTGTTCAGTCCTGCCTTTTGAAAGGGACATTGCTCCAGACCTTAAGTGATGTGAATGTAAGATCCCAGTGTGCATGTTGTGGTTCAAGAGTAGGGACTTCCTTGGCCCACCAAGATGTGCTGGTAACCTCAGTTGCTTCCTTGCCCAGATCAATTCACTCTCTTCTAATAAAGAAGTGGCTCTCAAATGTGGCTGCACAGTTACATCCCCTTGAGAGGTAATAATTATGTATTCCTAGGCTCCACCCAAGAGAATAATTTAATTGGTATGAGGTCGAGATTTTATGAACATCCTGGGTAATTCTAATGTTCCTTCAATATTAAGAGCTCTTCTAAAGTAAGGGTTTCTGGTTTGCTTCCTGAGTGAGTCTCATTAAATAGAACTGAAAACTGGCAGGTATCATTACTCTGATAGAGAGCTTGCTGGTACATCCCTTCTCCCAGGCATCATTTAGTTTGGTTACAGATGCACAGAAAAGTTTTAATTGTCAACTCTGGTAGCTGTCCTGAAAAACAAAAACTCTGCCTCCACTCTATTAGTGAGACAGATAGGGAAGTACCTAGTGACTTCAAATCTTCTGAAACATCTGATCCGTCATTCTCTTTTATGCAGTGTGATGAAAAATGCACAAAAGCATATTTCCACATGGGAAAAGCCCACCTGGCCCTGAAGAACTACAGTATGGTGAGTTCTTAAAGGGATGTCAGTGCATATTTGACCACAGAGTATTGCTCTGGGTTGTTCCAGAGGAGAACCATGGTCCTCCAGCTTGGTTTGATATGATTCCTACCTTTAGTATTTTCCAAGGTAAATCTCAAGATGTATCCACTAGTACAACCCTGCCAGATGTCAGAATTTTTTTGGCAGCATTTTCTACCAGTGCTCATGCAACTTCTGGAGAGAAAAACCATAAGAAAAGTGAGAAAATGAAATTCACTTGCAATCTCATCACCCAAAAATAACAGCCCAAATATATACATTAAGATATTACATATTGTTAATAACAGCTCTATTGAGATATAATTCGTACAGCATGCAATTTACCTATTGTTATAGTTTCAGTCAAGAATATCCCCCAAAGACTTCATGTACTCATGAGCAGGGCTTTTGGAAGGTGATTGAATTATAGGGGCGCTACAGATAACTTGCTGTTAGGAGGTGGAGCCTGGTTAAAGGTGAGTCACTGGGAGCGTGACCTCAAAGGGTATATTTCCCTTCCTGTTTTTCCTTGATTTTCTCTCTCTGCTTGCTGACTGCCATGACTTGAGCAGCTTTCCTCTGCCCAGGCCCTTCTATTATGCCATTTCTGTGTTTAAGGATGGCCTGAAACTTCTAAACTGTGAGCCAAAATAAACCTCTCCTCCTTTAAGTTGCAGATGCTGGGTATTTTGTCCCAGAAATGAGAAAAGTGACTGAGCCACCTATGGAAAGTATACAATCTGGTTTTTAGCATAGTCAGATTTGGACAGCGGTCCACAATCATTCACAACCACTCCTCTTTTCTTCATCTACATCTTAACCTTAGGCAGCCATTTCCACCTCTACACATTTGCCTGTTCTGGACATTTTAAACAAATAAAATCATATAATATGTCCTCTTTTATGACTGGTGTCATTCAGTTACTCTAATGTTTGCATGGTTCATCCAAGTCATGGTATGTATCAGTTCTTCATTCCTTTTTATTGCCCAATAATATGCCATTGTATGAGTATACCATATTTTATTTATTCTTTTATCAGCTGATGAACATTTGGGTTGTTCCCACTCTTTGACTATTATGACTAAGGTGGCTATGAATATTCATGTGCAACTTTTTTCTTGAGTATATACCTAGGAGTAGAATTGCTGGGTTGTATGGTAACTCTATTATTAACCTTTTCAGAAACTATCAAACTATTTTTCAAAATAGCTACAGGTTTTGAATTTTGCCTTTCTTTCAGCAGTCTATGAGATCCCCAGTTGCTTCCCATCTTTTCTGGTACCTGTACAGTAAGTCCCCAACTTACAAATGAGTTCTGTTCTCATAAGTTGGATTTCCTCATAAGTCTGACAAAGTGAGTCTTATACATTTTTGGCATAAATATACAATGTAAAGCATAAAAAAACCAAAGCACATCAACACTGTTTTTGCTCTTGCTTCCAGACATCATGGGTTCTGGTCGAGCACTACACTAGTGTACACTATTGCACTGTACAGTAAGTACACAGCAACACAACTGTGACAATGTCTGTAAGACACATGAGCTACGTCTGTTTGTGATTTGTTCCCATCTACATAATGTGAGGTTGATTCATAACTGTGAAAGTTTGCAACTTGAATGTTTGTAAGTCCGGGACTTACTGTATTATCTTTCTTTTTCATTATATCTATTCCAGTGAATGTCATCTCATTGTGGTGTTCATTTGTACTTCCCAAATGACTAACAATGTTGAGGTCTTTTCATGTTCTTATTGTCCATTTGTATCTTCTTTGGAGAAATGTCTTTTCAGATTTTTTGCCCATTTTTAAGTGAGAGGTTTTATTTTTGTCCTTTTATAGTGAGTTGTAAGAATTTTTCATATAGTCTGAATACAAATTTCTTATGAGATACATAATTTACAGATATTTTCTTCCATTCTATATGTTGTCTTTTTCACTCTTTTGATGGTATTTTTCATAGCACAAAATTATTTCTTTTTGATGACGTCTATTTTTTCCTTGGTTCCTTGAGGTTTTTATTTCTCAAAATGAAGATTTATACCTATTTTTTTCTAAGAGTTTTATGGCTTAAGCTCACACATGCAGAGCTGTGGTCCATGCTGAATTAATCTTTGTATGTGGTGTGAGGTAAGGGTTCAGCTTCATTCTTTTGCAAGTAGATACTCAGTTGTTCCTGTCTCATTTAGTGAAGGGACTATTCTTGCTCCTTTTGAGTGATTTTAATCAGTTAATCATAAATATATGATTTTCTTCACGGACTCTAAGTTGGGGTGACTATGGGACTGATTCTACAGGCCTCTAGAGGCTTTTCAGAGGGCCTTGGCTCTTTGAGTGATCTGCCAGCCATTGAAGGGTTTTTAACAAAGACTGATGTGATCTAACTTATATTTTAAAGGATTACTTTGACTTCTGTATGAGAATATATTTTGTAATGGCAAAGTAAGGAGAGAGAACCAATTAGAAAAAAAGATTTAAATAAATTATCTAAATAAGAGTCCCTTGTGGTGATGATGGATATAATAAGAAGTAGTGGGATTCTGAGTATATATTGATGGAGAAACCAACAGAAATTGCTGATAAATTGGATTTGGGGTTGAAGAAAACTTGGGTTAGATGTACATACTTTTATTCTGCAACAGTGCCCCTTTTTAAAATGTGACTTTTTTTCTTCATTTCTTAACCTGTCTTCTAGATAGACCTTGAACCTTCAAGATATCTTTGAACTGTTTATGTTTTGTTTCCTTAGTTATTTTTCTTGGTGACTAGTTGGATTGCCCTCCAGGCATTTCTTATATCCTTATGGCCAATGCTGCCTTACCCCAGAAATTCCCACAAACTGGAATCTTTCGTCTTCCAGAAACTTCTTTTTTTAATTTTTTTGGTACTGGGGACCAAACTCAGGTCCTTGCACTTGCGAGGCAGGCGGCAGAACCACTGAGCTAAATCCTAGGCCCCTTCCAGAAACTTCTTATCTAAGTTTCTTCAATGAGAGTCCCTCCCTCTCAAGTTTTCTAGCTGAGTCAGGGTGATCAGTGAGTGAATGCACTCCTGCAGCTGTCTCACAGACTGTACATTTAACTAGGCACTTCTTTTTCTTATTCCTGAGTCTCTATCAGCAGTATCTCCAGCTTCATTTATTTCCTCCTCCCTTTAGACATATCTGACAAATAGCCTCCTAGTCTTTCTTAGTGCAAACATCATATCTAAATTTTGCATTTGCCTTATGAGTATTCCTATCCAGACAGACACGACCCACCCAAATTTAGGACTGGATATATTTTTTATCACAGTCTGTATCTGGCAACATAATTTTTTAGAATGAGCTTTGAAATAGTACATACTGCCCCACAGAACCAAAAAAGCCTAAACAAATTATCAGATACACAATGTGTTCTCCATGCCTACTGTCTGTGCCAAGAGCCAGAGGAAGCTAGGTGGAATAATGAAGAAGCCAAGCCCTACAATGCCCAGTGTCTTTCTTGTAATCACTGTTACCCCCTAACCACTCTTCAAGGTCTTGTTTCTGTTTTTCAGTCCAGACAATGTTATCAGAAGATCTCAGAAATAAACTCCAAGCTGCAAACACAGGTGAAAGGTGAGAATGTTCCTGCTGGTATTCTTCCTCTGAACTTCATTTCCCTTTATGCTCTTCCCTATTGGATGTCTTCCTGCCTTCTCTGCCTGGAGCCACAGGGCAACACCTTTTCTTTTCTACATGAGCCGCCCCCTGTGTTAATGGTCCATTCTGCTCCTCTCCCCTCTATTCTCCCACTCTAGTTTTTACCTTCCTTTTCTCTGTGCCATCCTCCTGTAGCATCTTCTAGACTGCTCTAAATCTCCAAGATGATTTAAGAATTGGGCTTTACATTGTTTCTAAAATTTTTCTTGCTGAAGAAGTGTTCAAATTATTTTAATGCTCTATACTTTTCAACTTCCAATGAGAGAACAAAGAAAAGAAAGGAAAGGAAAAAGAAAGAAAGGGAGTGAGGAAGGATCAGTGACTTCTTGTGAAGTATTATTAGGTAACTTCTTGTGTGGTATTGTGGATTGCAAGGGTTTTGTTTGGTTTGCATGTTTCCTGCTTGTTTTACCAGAATACCTGCACCAAGTAGATCTCCAAGAGAAGGCAGACTTTCAAGAGAAAGAAGCCCATGAATTGTTGGATTTGGGAAAGAACACAGCTGTGACAACCAAAAACCTCCTGGAAACCCTTTCTAAGCCCGACCAGACGCCCTTGTTCTATGCAGGGGGAATGGAGATCCTGACTGACGTGATGAAGGATTGTAAGCCCGAGATGAGTGTAATCTCCTGAGTGTTGTCAATGTGAATGGGCAGGGCTTGGGGCTCAGCTGTAAGAGGCAAAAGAATCCTTCCTTTCCTTCTATCAACACAGATTAAAGATCTCCTCTAATATAAGTGCTCAAAGGGTGCACTCCTGCCTTCCCTTGTCCTCTCTTTAGAACGTGCATACATTCAATACATGTAGTAAACACCACACATACAACACAACACAAAACACACACACACACAGCAACACTCCATATATGGTGAATGATTAAAAAAAAGTTTTACAACGAAAGATACATTTCCATTAGTTCCTCTCAAAATACTCCCCCTTACTTAGAACACACTTATCCCATCATTTCTGCCACTATCTGAGGCTATTCCTGTTATCTTCTTTAATGTCTTTAGTTGGACTGTCATGCCTGCCTCGATGGCCTGAGTTGATTCAAAATATTTACCTTTCATGGGCATTTTGACTTTGGGAAAGAGCCAGAAGTTGCTCAGTGCCAGATCAGTGAATGTGGGTGAGGACACACCGTTATGTTTTTATGAGCCTTCCTTTCTGCTGAACAGCATTCAGCAGTGACATTGACCATATTTTTGATCATACCTTGGGAAGGCACTAATGAGAGAGGATTTCCAGAACTGTTTCAGAAAGTAGAAAGAACAATGGGATAAGTGTGTTTGAAGGGAGGGGGCTTAATGACAATATATTTTTTACTGTAGTACACTTTTTAAAATTTAAACAGATATCATATTTTTGATCAGCCTTCTTAATATATATACCACACTCATTCACACAGAGCGCACATTTAACTCACAGAGCATTTTACTCACCTGTCAAATATATATGACATACCCACACCACATAGCTCACACACAGTAACACACCATATTTATATTGGTGTACATATTCTATACACACAGTTCTTACCCATGCTCCACACATCCCACACATATCCCACACATACTCCCTACACTCTCACATTCACCCCAAACATCCTGCACTCTCCCTGTAAAGAAATGGAAGGCAGAATTTTGCAGGATAAACTGTAAGATTCATCCAAATTACCCTTCATGGCTGTTTAGAATGTGAAAATAGTTTCCAAGGAACCATCAGCTCTCCTTCTGCTAATGAGAACCATATCATTTCCCTTTCACCCATTCTTGTGAACATTGATGCCAGGGCTTAAGCAGTTTTTGTTGCTCAGTGACAGAATGTAGTTTGTACAAATGGAAGGGGGCTCTGACTTCTCTTTAGTACACAATACAAGGTGCTCAAATATCCCCTCTAGCAGTGTTTTGGAGATTACAGGTTCCTCTCTGGAACCTGGAAAAGGCTTCAAAATAAATTATTTCAGCACAGACCTGAATGCCAATGTTTTCCAGTTAAGTTCCTGGTTAAGCAGTTCCTGGAGGCCCTCTAATGACTGCAAAGAGATGAGTGTGCCACTAACTCCAAGGCTACCCCAGCTCCACTCTCCTTCTCTAAGTAATCCCTCAAACTGAAGCCCTGAATGGCTGGTAACAATTGTGGTTTTCAGAATGTAAAGTATTTGTTTCTGACAAACTTAAAATTACTGACCTTGACCTTCCATATTGGAGTTCTCAATCACCTGACTGAGCTGCAGCTTGACAACAGCCACTCAGTTCATGAACCTGACATGGTTTCCTGTGAATTTGTTTCAGGCACAGAACAAACTTTATTCAGAACCCACAATGGATTCAGCATCATCAGTGACAATGAGGTTATAAGAAGGTAGGAATGTTTGGAAAGACAGCTCATGACAAGGCAAGGAAAGACACTAATTTCTTGTGAAGCCAGATCCTGATTGCACAAGTAGTGACACTGCCGTGTCCCAGTCCCATAGTCAGTGGACATGGCCCCTCTAGGACCATAATGCCATCATGTGAATACTCTCGAGCTTGGCACTTTGAGTTGTTTGAGTCATGTGCGGCTATCAGTTGGAGATTGAGAAACAGCAGTGTCAGGTAAAAGGGCCGAAGACCAAGACCAGACCAGGCCAGGCCACAACAAGCCTTTATTAGGGGAATAGATCTGCCGGGCTGTCTCTGAACAAAGGAGAGACAAAAGCAATATGGCTGGGGCAGGGAGAGTCTTTTATAGAGACTGGGGTGGGGTTTGTAGGGGCAGAGGTGGGGTTGAGTGAGGTAGTGACTAGGGAATGGAGGAGCCCATGATGTCACTAGGTGGTAGGAGGTGAGCGAGTATTAGGTTACTTCCTAGGTGGGAACAAGGGCATGCTGGGAAGAAGGGTTTATTCTTTGGTGGGAGCAACCATCTTGGCATGATGTCACACAGGGGAGGGGGCAAGGCACCATAGGAAGAGGGCAGCTACTATACCTAATAGCTGCTGAGGTGGTGGGAGACCTATCAAGCAGCTTGTCCCAGGCTTTCCCAGGCTCTTCAGAGTCCGGGAAATAATGGTTTCCCACAAGTTTTTGCAAGATTTTTGTTTGTTCTTTTTCTCTTTTGGAATTTGCTTCTCATATGCAGAAGTAGAATTGCCTGGGTTCTGGCTAATCCCACTTAGAATTTCTTTCTTTCTTTTTTTAAGAGTAGGAAAAATTTATTGGGAGAAAGAAAGCTTCTGCCTAAGAGAGATAGAAGGGGGAACGGAAAGTGGGTTGCCCCCCCCCCACAAAGATGTTTTATACAGCAAGGCCATGTGGTGAGGCAGGTACAAAGTGGGACGAAACTATAAGACCCAATGGAAATTTACAAGGTGGGGATGAGATGGGACAAAACCATGACCAACCAATAAAATTACAAATACAGTAACCCAGGTAATATTGATTAAATGGGAGTCAAATAGGGGAGCAAGTCCTGTAGCAAGCATACAAGGATTTTCAGTAACGGTGGGGTCAGGGATATTTCCTGGAGAGGCTGGGTTAAGACCTTGGCCCCCCCACCCAGGTGATTGACACCTACTTAGAATATCAGTCACTACTATTCATCCTAATGGGTGTGCTAATTTCCCTCCTTTTACAACACTGACCTTCAGTAAATGTGTCTTCACTGTCCTCCATGTTGGCTCCTTGTGGGCTGGCCCTGTCTAACTGCCTACTAGATATCTAATTAACTTACCTATATGCAATATTCCCCCTCTGAAGAAGTACCCCTAACTGCTGTGAGGGGGCAAAGGGTGAAGACTGTTCTGGCTACTTCTGGCTGAAGAGGGTCATAGTTGTCATCAGCAGTTAGAGTTACTCTACAGAGGGTCTATCTAAAGGCCCTCCATAGGTGCCAGTCATTGTCATCTTGGTAGCTGTATAGCTTTGAGTCTGGAGGAGACAAAGGCCAAACAAACAGTTAAGAATACATGGGCTAAATAATAAGGTCATCAGGACTGCTATGAATATAGCCAACAAAGGTTTCTACTGGGAGGAACTAGTAATAGCCTCCCACAAAGACGATAAGAAGGTCCAGGGGACTTAAGAATCCAACATAGAAGTCCTGTTGTATAGTTTAGCAGTTATGAGTTGTTTACAAGATCAATCTGGTGGATCCTGGAAAACCAATTCTAGCACATTTGTCATTGGTTCCATTTGTATGACTGCTTGGAGTTTGGCAGCCTCTAGGCAAGAATAAACAAAACTTTTAAGAAATTAGTGCATGTATAATCTAAGCATGAGCACACTAGAATGGAAGGGCAGATTGGGAAGAAAGTCACACTTAGAAATTGAAATAGTGATTGTAACCTGCTGGCTCTTATGGATTCTACCATAGGTTTTTCCTAATGATCCATAACTGTAGTCAGCTACTGGTGTAGCTAGAAACTGCCAGAAGGGGTCAGTGACTGGAGCCCCTTTTTATATCTAGCTTTATTACTATGGCATTATTTTATACCTCTTTTGGTTATTCTTTTCTGCTGGGTGTTTAAGACCAAGTTAAAGTGAGACCTGCATCAATCAGTATGAACCTCTTGCTATCTAACAAGGTCAGTTAAGTCTCCTCAGGCATTACTTTGGAACCATGCATAGAGCCTCTCAGCTCCTCTGTCAGTATCAGCCATCAGGATGGGTTATGGCCTTGCTTGACCATGTTTCTTTCAGTTAAAGTGTGGGAGATTTTTTTCCCTCTTGGTGACCCTCCTTTGGTACATGGTACATTTGTCCTCTAGTGCACAGCAATCTCCCTGCTCAGGAGGTTGAGTGACTTACCAAAGATGTAGGATCCTGTAGGAAAGTTTCCTTTATGTCGTGGATCTTTGTTGACCTTTAGGGGCCAGGGCCAAAATATTGGCTATCCACATAGCCCAGTGACCTTTCTAGTTTCGGTCTCCAAACTTTAGTTGTTGAACACCCAGAAGAGAAGATCAGTGACATAAGTATTTCAGTAGGAACAGTGAACTTAACTATTATAGTAAAGACATCAAGAACTTTTGAAGTATAAAGCACAGTTAGACGGCTGTTATTTTACCAACCATGATCATTTAGTTGAATCTCTGCAGAATGATAATAGACAACAGTTATATATTATAGAGAAACTTAAGATCGAGAGCTACACATAGTATTTTAGCAAGACAATCATGATGACATTTTCTTTGTAACACATGTCCATCTAAGTATGGAATAGTCTTTTCAAACACCTCCATCTGATCACAAGACATTAAATGACATAAAGAAAACTCTTATTTGTTATCCTTTAGTAGGATGCCATCTAAAGAGAACATACATATTGCCCTATAAATGTACCTTAGGAGTTCATAACGTTTAGCCTCCAATTTTAGTGTGTGACATTGTTTCAACTGTTTGGCAACTGAAGATCCCTAAGTGTGGTGACACATATAACATACATCACATAAGTTTTTAAGAAAACTATTATTTGACTGGTTTTCTCATGCTGGCTTCACAAGTACCTCTTATCACAAGTAGCTGGAGTGCAAGAGAAAGGCAGATACCTGAGTCAAAAAAGATCATTACCATAAACAATGTCCTAGGAGACTTGTACATTTGGAGGACATGAATATATGTACTATGAAATAACAGTATCAGTTACATGAAACCCTTTGTCCCTTAATTTTGTTTTGTACCAAGAACATTTAAAATAAAACCTTGTTTTCCCACAGAAAACTTAGACCATGACCAATGTATACATATCACAATGTGTTTAGCGATGTATTTCCCACAAGGCTATGGAAATTATTGCAGTCCCCTTTGTGAACAAATGCTAGAACAAATTTTTTCCAGGCAGCCACTCTTTTATTTACCAAGGGGAGTCCTGTCCTGCAGTTTTCCTAAGCCCAAGAGTTAATTATCTTAACAAATTTTTAGATGACCTATGAGAGCCAGATCGTAACAATTAACACATTATTTTTGACCAGTGAAACACTCCTGAGTTATTATATAGAGACAACAATATGTATTGTATTTGTAAAACTAGTTGACGTTATTTGGATAATCTGGCAACCTGGGGAAGCATGTCTTTAGTGACATTTACCTATAGTTACAGGCAAACATCTTAAAAAACCCAAAATGCAAAAAGAAAAAAACTCAAACACAACAGCTGTACATGTTGTGACAAATTGAACAGACAGACAGACACACATATAAGACAACTTTTTTATAAACCAGAGTGCACTCAAATGTATTTGGCCAAGTTGAATTATAATAACTTTTATAATTTTTAGGTTTATAATTATAAAAAAGACTAGTCAGGAATTTGTAGATCAATTAACAGAGATCTCTTGTAATAAGAATCAAAAGGAATAAAAATCTTCTACACCTGTGAAAGCAAAGACCATTTTAAGATGGGCTGGCCCTAAGCTGATAGTTTATCTGACTGGAATATCCAGCTACACAGGCTTCTCATGGTTGCTTTTATAGCCACAGTTGTTTAATAGCCACGTGAAATTGTTCCCTCTAAAGGGACAAAATGTTAGAGGTAATTTTAACTATCTCCAGTGGGGTGCGCTCGGGCCAGGTTTGGGTATAAAAGAGACTAGGTGACACTGTTTGGAGCTAAGTATGAATTCCAAGTAGTGAGGGAAGAAGGGCTGCCAAGGCTCCAAACCTGCTGCACTGCAGATGTCTACCTACGACAGTTTTGTGGGGTTTTTTCATTTTGAAAAGAAACAAAGGAAAAGAAAGCATCCATCTATCCTTTTTGTTCTGTGCCCAATCTAAGGTGTCCCTTAGACTTTATCTCATCCAGTGCCAGTGGTGGCTGTCTAGAGGAGCAAGGAAGTGGCCTGAGCCAGGTTAGCTGTTTTTACCATTCTCTAATTTTGCCTGAGGGCTGAAAGACAGATAAATCTGTCTTTTACATTTATTTCTTGAGAGTTTCAGGATTAAACCCAGACCAATTTTCTATATGGCCCAGAGATAAATGAAGGTCAGCTTTACTCTGGAAGAATTCCAGGGAGGGGAAACTCACCATTCTGGAAGCTTTGTCTTAAAATCCAGCAGCCACAGAAGAGGGGAGTGCCTTGAATCAAACTGTGTTATTTCTCAAAGGCAGGGCAGTGGAGAAGGGACAGAAGAGTGTCATTAAGTATGGCATAAGAACTAAATCTTAACCATCTCAGGTATAGAAGGACAATTAAAATCAGGAGCTTTTCCAGGGTGGATCTGCAATCCTTAGCAAAACATGTCTCCAGAGACAAAAGCTATGATTGACTCCAGCTGAATTGCCATGCAGAAAATCAAACCAATAATCAAAGAACATGAATGGCTGCTTTTTGCCTCTTGAAAGAGGATGAAAGTGTTCTAACTATATTGTTTAGGGCTTTTGTTTTTAAATAAATTATTTTGAAACTATAATATCTAATTTATGACTTAAATACCCTACAGGCTGTTGAGCAGCTCCCTGATCTTGTATAAACACTCCCAAAGCCATGTTTTACCTATTATTAACATACAAACTGAGACAGTGTCCTGTAGGCAGGCATGCAGAAGTGCTTGTTTGAGCTTCTGGAATGCAATCTGGGAACTAGGTTCCCAGGTTAAAATATGGCTGTCTTTTGGGTTTTTTATAAGCTAACAGAGGGGTCACACAATCTCACTATATCTTGTTATCTGAAGGCCACAAAACCCTGTAATTTCTAGAAATCTCCTTAGCTGTTTTAGAGTCTTGGGCTGTGGAAAGGAAGGAATTCATTTAATTCTTTCTTACTGTAGTCTTTGGGTTCCCTTAGATATAATAAGGCCTAACTATTTTACCTCAAGGCTGCAAAGTTGTGCCTTAGATCTAGAAATATTATAACCCCCATCTGTTAGAAAATTCAACAGAGCAGATGTCTTGGCTAGAAAGCTCTTCCGATAGGACACATGACAGCATATCATCTACATATTGTAAGACTGACTTGGAAAAACCTATAGTATTTCCTTCTATCAAATCAGGATTTAGGGATGTCCTCATCTTTTTCCTGACAAATAGTTGACAATTTAAAATAATTGAAGGGCTTAGTTCTCATCTTTCTTAGACGTTCAAGAATACATGCCTGAAAATGTCTCCTATTTAATCTCATATCTGATTGGCCGGCCAGTGGGGGTCTTGTATAGGAACTGTTTATGTTCCAGTAGGACCCAGTTGTTCCCCTGGTTGCCTGTGTTTTGAGCTTCCAAAATTAAGATAATATTTGTCTCTGCATGTAGTAGCAGCTTGTAATACTACTTGTCTCATTAGAAATCAATGTTTAATTTAAGGGCAACATTACACCTTTCTAATCTATTCCATAGGTCTGAGTAAGTTCTTCAAAAGACCTCAATGTACATATCAGGATCATCTGAAAACTTTTTTAGGTCTCATTTAATCTATCTTAGAACACTGAGAGAAAAAGACACATGAACACAGGTAGTCCCATATTTGCCATTTACTTCCTGGAAGGGATATTGTCTTTGAGTTACCTCAACAACTTAGCTAAGGATGGATATAGCCGTCCTTTAATCCAATTAATCATAGAGATTATGGCTGGCCTAGATATTCCATCCTCAGCACCTGGTAGTTACGGTGAGGAGCAGCCTCAGGCTTAGAGGTGCTGAATGCCTTAAAGGTGAGGTGTCTCTCATTTTTCTAGGGCCCACATTTGCATTTGAACACAAGCAAAAAATACTTTTTAATGTAAAGAAAATCTCAACATAAGATGGTTTTGACCATTTTCTCTCTTTTACAGTATAATTCTAATTGTGAGATAGCATCGTAGTACTTTTCTCTGTGTACTTGGCTTTAGGAGGTAGGCACACCACTCACAGGTGTAGAGAAATGCTAAATTGTTCCTTAATACATTCCAAAGGAGTAAGAGGTTCAGATATGGAGTTCTAAACTGAAACAAGAGAAACAAATATGGCATCCCACAAATCTCTGCTTGATTCCTGTGCCCCCTGGGACATCCCCAGGGTGTCCCCCAAGGCTTATACCACTCCAGGATAGGTAGCTACCCTCTGGAGAGAGAACCAGAAAATAAAACTGGACTGGAATATCTACCCTTTACCAGCATGCAACCTTATCTTCATCAGGTAACACATATCCTTACTCCAGTAGGTACACTCAAAGCACAAGTTACAATTGACTTTAGCCATAATAATCATGTTTAGAGAATGAAGTATTGCTAGCAAACCAAGAGCTTTAAACCACTGCTTTCTAGTTCCTTGAAAGAGAGGGGAGAAAATAGGTCAACAGTCAAATTAGGGCACTTTTCCTCCAAAAGAAATCACCTCCAGAGATTGTTCAGAGAGTCTGCCCTGGGCCCTAGGGCAGAGAACGCTCTGAGAAATTTCTGTTGTCTATCCAGTCATTTAGGCAACTTTTATTAGCAAGACAAGGCTACTCCTTTAAGGTCCATTCTAAATTCACTAAGTATTTGAAACTACTAGGTTCTCCTCGTAACCACAATCTACCTAGTAAAGGCACTCTTATGGACTTCCCACATGTGTAGAAATGAAGAGAAAGGCTAACCAAAATAGTCCCATATTCTAGTTAGCATGTAAAAACACAAATACAAGTTACTGATTGTTATTTTCCCTAGTGTAAGACAAAACAGTTGTTTCGAGTTGCCTTAGTCTGACTTTCTGGAAGGAAGTACAGTCTGACTACAAGGGATTCTCAAATGAACTCCCAAAGAGTTGGAGGAAAGTTTAAGGGGAGTTTCTAACTCACTAGCAAGACAGAAAAAGTCCAAATAAAGCTCAAGCTGGTTAAACATCCAAAAATCACCATATAGCACTCTATAAGTCCACAACCTATCAGCAAAGGTATTTTTTACACACATAAATGATGAAGACCATGCCTGGGGTGGGGGGTGGGGGTGGGGGAGAAAAGGTTCAGGTACCTTTTAATCTATCAAAGATTCATTTTCTACAGTTGTCTAGAGGTCTTACTAGTAGTAGAGAAAGCAGTCCAAACCTGTAGCTCAACTCTTAACAGAGGCTTAAGAAAGGGCTCTGACAGCATCATTTCAGATCACTCTGAGACAGAGGATCTCTGGTGATCACTGACAGAGTTTCCCTTTCACCTCGCTGAGGAGTCCAGATAGGGACAAGATGTGGAGATTTTCTTCTGGTTACCTGGATGGGCTGTCGGAAGCTGTTTTCTTCTGAGGGATCTTTGGGTATCTGCCAGAGAGTAGCTCCAACCATGACCCCTCAGTTTCTGCTAGTTCCACACAATCAGAGATCTGTCTCCAAAAGGAACCCAATTGCTTATCGGGTCAACATTCCACCCACCATTGGTGTCAGTGGGAATGGGGATTCACCAGAAGGCAACTAGAGAAACCTGTCCTCTGTTTTGAGAGTGGCAGCTGCCCTAAAGGCAATTACCAGCTGGTAGACTAACCACTGTTTGGTATTCTATAAGGGACAGATAAAATCCTGAACTGTTTTTATCTGAGATGATTTCATAAGAGAACCATTTTACAACATTTTTAAGCAACTAAGTCCAAATGCAGCACATACAAAACAAGAATAACACATAGTATTAACAAGAGACAATGCAGAAGAAAAACAAGAAATTTGCAAACATTTAAAACACACAGCTTAAAATTAAGACACTTTTGAAACAAAAGCCAAAACAAAGGCCAGAATTTATGAAACAAAAACCAGAATCTATAAAACAAATAGCCAGAGCCTGTGAAACAAAAGCTACAACCTGTGAAGCAAAAAGACCAAAGTTAGAACCTATGGAACAAAAGCAAACTCTTACCTCTGACCAGTAATCTCGGTAGAAGACCTCCAAAATGATATAGGGGAAAGAGATATAACTCCCAAACCTGCTAGATATCCAAAACATGAGTTCATTTTCTCTAAAATCAAAGAATGAAATCTAGGAACAACGGAGGTTAAGAGTAGGAAAAATTTATTGAGAGCGAGAAAGCTTCTGCCTAAGAGAGACGGAAGGGGAACTGGAAAGTGGGTTGCTCCCCCACTTAGAACTTCATCTGGAGAAAATCCATGTGGTAGGAGGTGGTTTATTAAACTTATTTCTATTTTATTTTATATTTCAGTTGTGTACCTGGCGTGATTCCTGAGGCATAGGATTCTGATGTAGGTTAGAGTTGCCAGTACATATTTGAATGTCCAGTTATCACCATGGTTCCCAGCTCACCTCCCACCCTTTGGGTAACCTTCACTCTGCTCCCTCCAGCCTGTGAATTTAACCTGGTTCTCTTGGCTCTGTGATTGCCAGTCCTTTGATCCTGATGCCTTGTGATTCTGACTTGTAAATTACTTTGAAAAGTGGCATTTGGCAAGTCTAGGTATGAAATAAAACCCAGTGAAAAGAAAATCACTACTTATTTCCAGACTTTCCATTGTTCTCTGTGTCCATTGTAGGTGTCTCTCCATAGCAGAAAAAGATATGATTGAAGAGACAGTCTGTGTGACTGTTCTTAAGCTTTGGCAAGCAGTGTGCAGTGAGAACGGTAAGCCTACACTGTGACTGTTAATCACCAGTAATGAGCTATGAATGCTTGAGCTGAGTAGTTGAGCATGATTGTTCCCCTCAAAGCAAAGTCCTAGAAAGTTGGTTCTAGACACACACATACACACACACACAAACACACACATCTCCCTCCAAAAAGTGCATGGATCAAAACAAGGTCTACATTGCAGTTATGTCTCCTTCTGGGCCTTGGGTGGCTGGAGAGCAGCCCAGAAATTGTGGGCAAGGTAGCTGTAGTGTGATGAGTGGTCTCTCACATGGGCTTCTCTCTGCAGACTCATGATGTCTGCTCCTGTGCTGGAAATGGGGTGGACAGTGTTTCATTTCCTGTCTGCCTAAAACTCTTTTTGTTGAACACAGTACCCATTTCACCATCTTGAGCTGTAGGATTGTCAGCCAGCCAGTATTTTGAGACACTAATGGCTTTCTGATATTGACACAGTAAAATGCTGTAGGGAGTTTTATTTTCCATGTCAACTCTTAACTTTTTTCATGGTAGCAACTTCTGGAGTTCATTAAGCTCTTGCATAATCTTTCTTAATCTTCTCTGTGACTTCAGTGTAAAGATTTTAAGTATTTCCTTCATTTTTTTAAAAAAGTGTGTTTCATAGAAAAAGGTTTGACATGAAACATTAAAAATAGGAGTAATGATAGATGTGTGTCCTTTCCACAGTGCTAATTGGGAAGCCAGTGACGGAGCCTACAATTATAGTTCATATACTATAAAATGCTGAGTATAACACAATTGTTTTTATTTAGTAGAGTGGGAGAACCATGAATTTCATAAAATAAACTCTGGAAAACTGGACAATCAGCAGGCTTATTTCCTAAAGGGCAACTGCACAGAAGAATGATCTGAGTGCCTTGCTCTCCTGCACAGGACCAGCACTGTGTGTACAAAGCCTCCTGCAGAGGGGAGGAAGACAGGACTTGGTGCTGGCCTCTTCACTCTTTGCAAACCTGACACAGTCACCCACTGACTTTGCTTCCTGTAAACTTAGAGTTACACAATTTTAAACACTTGAAAAATATGGTCAGATACAACCTGGGATACACATGCTGTATCTCAGGCCCACGAAATCTTGATCTATCATAATTCAGTAAATACAAAGCATCTTTTAAAGAGGACAAGGGAATATTTTATGAACATGAAAATAGGCCAGGGATTAAGCTCAGTGGTCCCGCTGCTTGTCTGGCAAGCATAAGGACCCAAATTCAATCCTCGGTACCAAAAAAACAAAACAAAAACAAACAAACAAAAAAAGAACATGAAAATATATTGATGATGCATTGCTGAGTGGGAGAGAGAAGCCAATCACAGAGTAGTATGTGTAGTGTTTTTAATATTATTCTTACAGTGGGGTGAATAAAATAGCTTCTCAGGGAATGGCTCTACCTAGAGGAGGCACCAGAGAAGGGGACTTTTATTTTCCGCTTGGTACCATTTCTGTGTCGTCTGAATTATTTACAACAGGCTACTTTTCCAGTATAAGAAAAAATATAAAAATGGAAGAAAATCCTTTTCATTTGGAAGATCAATAGATCCTATTTGACATGGACAGGAGTAATTGTAGGGAAGTATATAATTGAGATATGCTCTTTGAATGAAAATGTAGTTATATGCGTGGGCTCGTCAGAACCTGCAGTCCTATGTCTTGACACTTTTAGGACTGGAAGAGCTCAGGTATGTGTCCTCTGTTTGACCACTCTGCAATATGTAGATGGGGGAAAAGCCCTGGGTAATGAGACCTGGGTGACAGGTTCCCTTCCCCCAAGATCTAGCTTGCTGTGCTTGATTTCACTGCTCAGTCCCATACTCCTGCTCTCAAGCACCTGTTGAGAATGTGAAGCAGGTGAAATAGGTTAAATCCAATGCTGCTGCCCTGGAAATAGCTCACAGTTTAGAAAGGAGGGCATGATTTATTAATGAATGTTCTCATGTGACACTCCAGTTTCCTAGAAAAAATTCAGATGATCATACTGGCCATTATATGAGGATTGGTAGTCTAATGATGCATACAATTAAGCTGATTTCTTTCCCTTTGCTCTCATTTCCAATATTACATACCAACAAGCCTTTTTTAAAATTTATTTAAAAATTTTTTTTAAACTTCATTTTATTGGTACATTTTAGATTTACAATATAATGACATTCATCATTGGAAATTTGTACCTTTACGTAATGTATCTTGGTTCTTATTTTTTTTCCCCATTTCGCTGACCTCCATTCAACCCCTCCACTCCCTATTTACAAAGACTTTGTTTCCATTTTTTCATTTTCTCATATTAATTCCATTCCCTTCTTTTCTTTCCCCTGCCCCTCCCACTCCCCACTCCCCTTTGCCCCTTTTCTTCCTATTTCACATTATCTATTATACCTTTTGCTCCTTATTTACACTTTCAGTTTCTCACACTAGAGAAACTATTCAGTATTTACATATATGTGTCCTATTTATTTCACTTAAGAGTGTCACCTCAATGTGCATCCATTTAGCTATAAATGTCTCTAATTTCTCATTCTTTATGGCTGAGTGGTGCTCCATTTTATTTTTTAAAAAACACTACATTTTCTTTATCCAGTCTCCAGTTGATGGGCATTTGGGCTGCTTCCAAGTTTTAGCTATTACAAATTGTGCTGCTATGAACATGGGGGCACATATATCACTGTGGTATGATTCTTTTAATTCTTTGGGAAATAGCTGGGTCAAATGGGACTTCCAGTTCTAGTTCTTTGAGGTACCTCCATACTGATTTCCACAGTGGTTGCACCAGTCTACAGTCCCACCAGCAGTGGAGCAGTGTTCCTCTTTCCTCACAGCCCTGCCAGCATTTGTTATTGGTTGATTTCATGATAGCAGCCATTTTTTCTGGGATGAGGTGGAATCTCAGCATTGTTTTCATTTGCATCTCTCAAATGACCAATGATGCTGAACATTTTTTCATATGTTTATTTGCTGTTTCTACTTTGTCTGAGAAATGTCTTCTTTTCAGATGCCCATTTTTGGATTGGGTCTTTCAATTTGCGAAGTCTGATTTTTTTAAGTTCTTTCTAGAACTTAAAGATAGATAGATAGATAGTAGACCTTGTCTGAGAAACAGCTGGTGAAAAATTTTTCCCACAGTGTAGGTTGTCTCTTCATGCTGTGGGTAGTTTCAGCAATGAGCCTTTTGATAATTATAACATTATAGTCAATTTCTTTGGACCAGTCCCTGTCTGGCCCAATCACATATTTACTTTTGGAATCCTCCTACCAACTCTAGTGGGTGAGTTATCATCCTCATTTTATTGATGAGGAAACTGAAGGGCACAGGAGCTAATAACTGGCCAAGGCCACTCCCCTGCTCAGTCAGATCCAATAGTCTGGATCTGGGGTCCTGCTCTTGCATGTCATATACTGCTTCTCAAATGAGTAGAGAAGAGCTGGTGGGAGGCAGAACTGGTTGAACTGCATTGGAACCTGTATAAGGCAGATGACAACTGTGTTTTGCAGAGGAAAACCAGCGTCTGCTTGTGCTGCACCCCAACATAGTGAGGCTGCTGCCCTCCCTCTTGACCTCCAAAGTCATGGCCATCCAGCAGCAGAGCCTAGCACTGCTGCTACAGGTCACTCAGACTGAGCATGGACGGAGCCTAGTCATCAGCCACCTTGACATGACCCGGTAAGACTCTGCTGGAAGGGTGTTTCTTACAACATCTTGAGTCATTCCTCATGGTCTGCCATTGGACTTTATGAAGGATCAAGAACAGAGGACCACCTCCTGTCTGAACTCAGTGCCATGGGTAGTTTCACTTTTGGACAGCTGGCATGTCTCCATCACACAAATACTGTAGACAGTGTCTGGGAAGTACTTCTGTAGTCAGATGTGAAACCAAGCCTTGAAATAGGTCACTTGCTTCTATCCTTTTAACCTTAGGCCTGGCCCCATCTTATTCTTGCCCTTTTGTTGCCTCTTTCATTCCTGCTTGAAGCAATACTATCTGATTTTGCATATCCTTAAACTCTTTCTGCAAAAAAGTAGGGTATAAATTAATAAATGAATGCTTTTGTGTGGAGATCTTTCCAAAGCTGAAGCATGCAGGAATATGATGCTCCTCTCTCTAAAGGAGACTTTCTAAAAAATTACCCACACCACAGTGATTCTGCCCATTTCTTTTCAGTTTATTTTTCTTTTATTTGTTTTCTTAGTTTACTGATTTACTTTATTAATTTTCATTTTATTTATCTTCCAATTTTAGGGCCCATCTCCCTCCTCATGTCTCTGATGATTTGAAAATAATGAAATTGCCATTTTTGAGATCAGAATGGTTGCATGTTATTCATCCTAATGGAATAATATCAATTATTACAGCCTGCTTTATAAATATTTCAGACATAACGTACAAACAAACACCTTTGCTCACTGTAATTTTGTTTTATCTCCTCTCATCTTGTGGAGTAGGCAAGGCCACTGTTATTACCCCATTTCACAGATGGGACAGGTGAAGCTGCAGCAAGTAAGGAGGGAATCTCACCCAGCTGCCTCCCTGCTGTGTGTTCTTTGGTATGCAGCTCCTACTCTCTGTTCCTAACAAGAGAAGGAGCCACACCTGCAGCCCTGTAGGATCTTTCTTAAACCAAGTTGAGCCCTCCCACTTGTTAAATTTGGTGTTGATTAGATGAAAATCACTGTGACCAAATACCTGAGAAAATCTGCATAGAGGAAGAAAGGTTTGTTTTGGCTCATGGCTTCAGAGGTTTCAGTGCATGGTGGGCTGGCTCCATTGATGTCAGCCTGTGACAAGGCAGAAACATCATGGTGGAAGGGTGTGGCAGAGGAAAGCTGCTCATCTTATGGCAGTGAGGAAGAAGAGAGAGGAGGAAAGAGCCAGAGAGAAAGGAAAGGACCTGGGATAAGGTATATTCTTCAAAGGCATGGCTCATTGACCTACTTCCTCTAACCAGGCCCTACCCACTAATACCTTATTCAGCTATGAACTCATCAGTGGATTAACTTATTAATGAGATTGGCAACTTCACGATTTTGTCACCTCTCTAGGCCCTACCTCTGAACATTGCAGTATTGGGAATCAAGACCCCAAAACATGAGTCTTTGGGGATACTTGATGTTTAAACTATAACAAGTGAGATTCGGTGTGTGCTAAAACAGAGTGGTCATTGGGCCTCAGCTGTGGCTCTCTTTGTTTCTCTACTCTACCGAATCCCAGCCTCACCAGCTCCCAACATAGGCTTTGGCAACCCACTGAAGCTGTTATCCAGGAAGATGTATAAGAGGAGTTAAATCCTCCAAATCCACATCACTTTTCTAATGATTCTGCAGTCATTTCCTTGGTACCTTCATCATGTGGGGGTTTTTTAAATTGGATTTTTGTCTCTGAGTAAATGTAGCTATAATTATCATAAGTGTTTTGCCCCCAAGCTATCTTTGAATTGCTTGAGTTTCAATTTGAATGTTTCCAGTGTCTTGAAGAATACGGTTTATGATCACCTCACATAGTACTGCCTACTCTCTTTGGACAGTCAGAGAAACTTCAGCTTATTACTTCTATGCCCACTAGTCTTGATAATGCCCATCTTCAGTCATACTGGAAGGAGGTGTAATGGATTCTCTGTAATGAAATGAGATGGTTGAAGCAGGACAGGCCAGCATCCAGTCCCATGACTCTTATCCTGGCACGCAGATCACATTCCTCCTGAAATGTTTCCCTTATATGAGAGCTTGAAGGGATGAATTGTGCTAGCAAGAACCAGCCAAGGGCCAGTGTCACTTTGTAGAAAGCATTGGGTTTTTAGATTCAGGATATCCTGAGCTTAACTCCTTTGCATGTCTCTTGCTCCTTATGTGACCTGGTAAAGCTACTCAGCCCAGTGTCTCATGGTTTTGGAGGGATGATGTGTCCATGTCAGTGAACATTTGAATAATGGACCAAATGGACCTTAAGCAAAATGGAGCCCAGCTTGCTTTTCTCATGTAGCAAGAAAAGATTAAACAGTAATTTGTGGCTTAAAAATGTCAAGGTCAAGGTCTTTGTCTTTCTCTTACCCTTCTCCTCATAGTCATACCTCCCCCCTTGCTGTAGCACCAAGCTGCACCTCTCTTATTTAAGATAGATCAGCACCAGTGGATCCATCCATTTTTATTAAGAAAAGCAACTGCATATGTCTCTTTGAATAGAATTTTGTCACATGCCACCCTTTATGGGGCAAATGGTCCCATCTTCTATAGTAGAGTCAGGCAGAATAGAAAGGAGTAGGAATATCTGTGGAGTTAGCTAGAACACAGTCTCTGGCAAGAAAAGCTACCAGTATGAGGCTTGCCACTTGGTATGGACTCAGCAATATTTTATAATCATTTTCTCTCTTCAGGGTACATTGTTCAGGGTCCTAAACTGAGGCAGTAGTGTACTTACTGATTATATGAAACCATTTCCAACCTGCAGCCACACAGAGGGACAGCTGCTTATTGATACAACCTACAATCTACCTCTGAGCAAGAGAAAGCAAGAGAAGCTAGAAAGAGACACACTGTCCTCTTTAGGTAAAAGGTGTGCTTAGTATGAGTATTTTTTCATATCATGAGAGAGCCTGCTTGCTTATGCTCACCAAGACAAAGCCAAGATGATCTCAGACTGTAGCCTCATTCACTGTGTTATTTGGATCCATTAGCATTCACCTTCAAGACCAAGAAAACAGACAAATTGATAGAGGAGGAGCCTGAACTAACTCTAAAACAAATTATTTCTGACACTGAGAACACTGGAGTACACTGATGAGAAAGTCAGGGAATTGCAGAAGCTTGGAATTACGTGAACTTTAGAGACCATCCAGCCCAGCCCACCCAGCATACATGGGTCTCTTTGTGACATCCTGTCACAGCCTGTGTGTGTGCCTCTCTGAGGAGGAACTAGTGCTTTCATTATATTTGTCTCTGTTTGATTTGGGATGGACACTAAAATAATTCATAGGCTGAGGGGTCTTTCCCCAGCTATTGAGGATATGGAGCTTACCTTTGAAGGCAGCCTATCCACATCTGAATCAGTACTAATTGGTAGAAGTCATCTCTTTACACTGAACACAGACTTCCTGCCCCACAGCATTCTGGTCCAGATTATTAAAGACCTATAGAATGCACCAAATCCTCCCATTTTCCAGTGTTTTAGGATCTAAAACATCAGTCTTTTCCAGGTTAAACACTCTGGTTCCCTTGACCATTCTTCAGGTAATGTGTCTTCCGAGTCCCTCCTAGAACTAGTTTCTAAGCAGATCCAGTACTCTGGAAGTGGGTAACCAGATGCCATACTCCCAAATAATCAGGCCAATGTGCTCTTTTCTGTCACTCACTTGACAGCCCTGTGGCTTTTGGTCCTCGTGACCACTACCCTTCTTGAAACTCTACAGTTGTGACTGTCCGCATGGATTCTTGGTCTGCTATCTCTCTCCTGGTTTTTTCCTCTTGGATTCCTTCACTAGTCCTCTTATCCTGCCAGTGTTCCAAATCAGAGGCTCCAGGATCCTACCCTTGACCCTCTTCTCCTCTATGGCTTTAAGAGACAGAATCTGAGTCCCTCCCTCCCTTGAATGCTAGATAACAATATTCTGCCACTGGATATCTCTATCTCAACATCCATGAGTATCATAAACTAACAAATCAAAATGTGGTCCTTCAAATCAGACCTCTACCTGAATTGCCTGTCTTTGTGAGGAAGATTGCTTATACCAGATACTGGAGATGAACTTGATCACCCCTTACCACCTACACAAGATAGTAGATTGTCAGTTCTTGTTCCTTAGTATTGCCTAGATCATCTCTTTCAGTACTCCTCCTCCACTTTTAGTTATTTCTTCTCAGTTTTGATGGCCTGCTTTTTGATAGTAGCTCTTATTCTGCTACTGCCACAGTTCATGCCCTTAACCTTTATTGTCTGGACAATCACAGTGCTCCCCAATCCCGCTGCTCCCGGCCCAGAGGTAGGGACTTCTGAGCTGCTGTCCCACTATTCCTGGTTCAGAGGAAGGGGCTTCCTGGCCACCATCCCTCCCACTGCTCCCAGCCCAGAGGAAAGGGCTTTTGAGCCACCTTCTGTCCTGCCACTCCCGGCCCAAAAGAAGGGGCTTCTGGGCCACCATCCCTACTGCTGCTCCTGGCCCCTATCCCACCTCTTTCAGCTCAGAGGAGGTGAGCCATGAGGATGCCAGTTGCACCCACCCTGCTGCTCCCCAGTTGAAATGAGAAAACACATAAATAAGTCTCAAAACCAGACTTCCAGATCACCTACAGCAACCCCAAAGGGAAAT